TCTTCTCTTAGCTCCTCAACTCGCTGGCTGTTTATACTTCCATTTTATCTGATTTAGACTGTGTTGTTTTCTTAGCTTGTTTGGACTTTTTCTTGTGATGTTGTACTGATTGCTAAAGTAGTATTGTACTTATGCTTATATTGGCTGAATTAGTGTCGTATTTATTTTGTACTTGATCTTTTTGCTGTATAGTAGTGTTTATTGAATCATGTTTTGCATTTGTCATTTTGAATCAAATTGTGTCATTGGAATTCTTTTGGATTTTTCTCCATTCTTGTCAAGTTTTATCATCTGCCAGATAACTTTGGCCGTTTTTCTCTTGGCACATCTCTCCTTTTCCTTTCCTCCGTTTTCTCTTCAGAGATGTTATCCTCGTCCAGATTTTACTATGTCATGTCCCCTGGGGCTTGATTTCATGAACCGGCAACGTTGCGTCAGGCAATAGTTCGGTATATCTAAATGTTTAAGTCTAATTTCCACTTGTTATTTCAGTGTTAGTATAGTACTGATATATCTCCGGGTTAGCTTCGCTCTTTAGATGCGCTTTGCATTGCGTTGTATTTAACGTTTTTTATAATTTTGCAGTGTAACTACTGAATGTATTCTGTGATACTGTGAAGAGTTGTACGACTATTTTTGTGGGAAGTTCCACAACTCTAAAGTGTTTCTTTTGATAAAATTAATTTTATTAACTTAAATTTTATTATCGGACCTGCGTACATTCAATCTCTTACGAACCCGTATGCACGCAACAATATTTATGTATAACATAGTGCATTCAATGGTTGGATTTCCTTTCCGTCTGCATAATCACCGTGTAATGCAGTGATCAGTATGTATGTGATAGTAATTTGAAATTTACATTTTGCATTGCGTAAGATCTAATTTTTTTTTCCTTAATATACTCGTAATTCATTATGAATTTATAATATTGTTATTGCATTAAATTTAACTCGAGCTAGAATATATTTTATAATCATGTAAGTAAAACAATAACGATTATTTTTAATATTAATTTTAGAATTATTTATTGTTGCATTGAAAACATTTCTTTATAGCATTTTAGAACGCTTTTAATTGAAATTTCAAATGTTCACATTATACGTTTAATAATAGGAATACTATTCTAGACGATACTGTGACGTTTGATACAAATTATTCAGGAACAGAAATCTGCGAAAATGTTTTTTTAATCTAAGTATCTTTATATTTGTTGCGCGTTTGTGAAATGAAAAACAGCAACGTCTAACAAGACTTGAGTATTTATGGCATGTATGCGATACAACAGCTTAGAGTACTATTCTTAAACTTGATTTTAAGCCATTTTGGAACTTAAATTGTCATTACATTTTGGCCATTAGAAAGAAAAGAAATTTAATAATCTATGCGATCGACATAACTTACGTGGTATTTTTTACATTGGTGACAAAAATCTCTTTTAAATTGTTATCCAACACACTGTGCTCTCAGAAAGTGAGCTACTAAAACTCATCCTTAGAGAGTACATATTAAGAATTTTGGTTAGAAATATGTCGAAAACAGAAAAGAATTTCCTCTTTTTATAACAGAAAGTTTTTCCTCTTCTTCAAATATCTTTATCGAAGTACATATTTTTAAACTAAGCTGTTTAGAAGATGATAACTTTTTTCATACAATGTACAGATGAAGGTTACACAGTCTACTCAGTACTACGTTTTACTGAGTAAAGCAAATAAAAGCTAAGCTAATATTTGATATCTTTCGGATGTGGGGCGAAATCTGGGCAAAAACAAGCCCAAAGAAATGAAACATTTTGTTCCTCTTTGATAAACCTCATGACTTCATAACTTCATGACATGACCTTGACCTGGATTTATTCCAAGAATATCAAATTTTTAACAGATTGGTGCTAGATATGCTTCAGATAAAAATACAGAAAAAATCAGCAAAAAAAAAAAAAAAAAATACAGCGAATGCAATTGTATTCTTGCGAAGTAGAGGAGAAGAAAAGTGCAGTAAAATATTTTGCGTAATTAATAGCTCAGAAAATTCCCTAAAATAATCCAATATGAATGATTTTTATCAGAAACGATTGATTTATATTAACTAAATTATACAAATCTATTTCATGTATTTTATTTTGATACAAATTAAATAAATTAAAGAGAACCTTACAAGCATGGACTTTTTGCTGAAAAAACGTTTAGTAATTTAAGCGTTGATACTTCATCTAAGCACAAAACCTACATTGAAAATCTAGTTACTTACTTTGCAGAGTTATTAGGTTTCCTTGAAGCAGGAGACATACACACTGTCCTCGCCGGGGCTCCAGCCCTGGATCTTTCGAATACGCTTCCTATTATGCCATGGGGAAGGGAGAAATAAAATACCTTATATACCCCCATTTTAAAGGACGAATAGAGATTAGGGAACTCAGTCGCTAAATCTTGGTTGTGACGAATTATCGCTCATCACCTTTTAGTTCGGATGCCATTTGTTGAGTCATTAGGTTTTCTTGAAGCAGGAGACATTGAAAATGTGCAGTGCCCTGGCCAGGACACAAACCCTGAATCTCTCGAATATGCGCCGAGTAAGCTTCCAATTACACCACAAAGACATACGGAAACGAGGGAGGCAATACCTTATAACGTATATAACATTTTAAAGGAATACATTGTTATTGATAAATCTTTTTCCCTCTTGATTTTCAAGAAATAATCTATAAAATGACCCATTTGGTATAACGTCTATTTTCACTCATCTCTAAAGGATCATAATAACACAAGTTGATTGTATATAAGAATATTAACTTGGTTAACTATTAATTATTCTTCTTATTGATTTTCGATAATAACATAAAATATCAAGCAGTACACAAACAGCACGGCTGCATGTTTTTCTGGCATTTTTTCTGAGAATTATTCTCTCATTAATCTCTGTTTTACAAATTATTCTTATTACTCCTTGCTTAGTGCATGCATATAATCCTACACGCACCTAAGCATGCAGTTTAAAACCGAAAATAAGTCGTAAATGGATCATGCATCCATGAGTTTTCTTCGGTCTCTGTCATACCTTCATGGAATTAAGTTAACTTTCAAAAAGGACTCAAAATGAAAGCATGGATAAATCGACAGATTTACCAAACTAAGTGCAATTATTTTGGTATTTCTATGATGTACGATACTTTGTGAACGTTCTTCGAAGCATGCCTACAAACATAGAGTAATCGATGTTTGTGGAGATGTAGTAATATGGTGGAAAACTAATTAATCTGGTGAAAAACTTAAAAGACATTCAAATCTGTAGTTTTAAAATGTTACAAATTGAAAATACAAGATCCAATAAAAATATAAATTAAAGAATTTAGGTTTTTTGGATTATAGCAATACACACATAAGAGCTACCTGCCTAAGGAGAGGTATGATATATCTCGGCATGGGACATTCATGAGCATTTTTGTAGAATTTGGAGATACTGCCCCAGTGTTTTTCACGGTTGTTTAATAGGTAACAGAATAACAGCATTGGCAAATTTTTTCGAAATGCAGTGAACATTTCTGTTGTCTGTTTACATTAGTAACTGAGTGTAGAAGTTAAAAATGCTTGATATGAGTGTGACGATTGTATATTGTGTAACAGAGATTCATTTAATATAGAAGGCTCAATGGAAGAACATTATTTTGTGCTGAGAAAAGTCTGTGGTATCTCTAATGTTAACACAGGGACATGAAATAGACTGCGTGAAGATTTTGAAATCACTGTTCGTAATGTTTCAAAAGAATCCAGGAGTTTTATATAGGTACATAGCCACGTATAAAACATACATATATCGCGTCTACCTTGAAAGTAAGCAACAGAATAAGATCTAGAATCCCATATCTTGTTGTTATGAGCAAGACGTTTCGTGTATCAACTTGATTATCCAAAGTTGTGGTCAATGTTTGGGATACCAAAGAGATGTTAATTACTGATTATCTTTAAGGGAAAAACAATCGCGAAAGCATGTTATGCAATGCTAATATTAAAAGCGGACGAGAAAAATTCAGAGTAAACGAAAAATGAAGCCGGAGAAATGATTTCCTTGTAACCATGCTGATGGGCGTCAGAAAGATTTAGCAAGGCAATGACTGTTGTAACTGATCCAAATACGCTATCCTCAAGCCCTAAATTTACTTCAACACTTTCTTTTTTAAAACATAAAGAATGATTTCGTTTGATATGCGTTTTTCATGAGATGATCATTTCTACGGCTGGTTTGGAGAATATGAAACAAGATTTTCTCTCTCTCAGGGATAAAATGCAGTGCAAGGAAGTTGGGAGAAATGCATCGCCATCAGAAAGAATTGATAAACAAATGGCATTTAGCCGCCACCGAAATACACTGCTCGCCAGTAAAATTACAACACCATGAAGGAAATTAAAGAGAAAAAAGGTATTTATTGTATGTAGACAGTATGGCATGAAGACAAAATGATTAAAATTGTAAGCAGTTGGAGGTTTTACACGAGTGCGAAATTAGAAGAAAAAGCTGCCACGCCTGGCAACTAAACGATCTTTACTTGGTTAAAGAAAAACATGGAGTTGAACTGGGCTTGGATGACAGAAATGGACAACTCATTCCATACTGCTTCAAATCTGTGCCACACTTCATCCAGCCAGGTGAATACTAATCATTTGCATATCCCAACCTCTTCTTCCTCTCATGTGATTTTGACTTTCGTCAGCTCATTCCTTCTTGGTGCTGCAATTTTAATAACCAGCAGTGTATTTCCTTATACATATTCTAAAATTATTCTTTAATATTTTCTCCATGGTTAGTAAATCTTTATGATTATATGATTTGAAAGGCAACAAAACTATGTTAATTGACTACCAAAATATGTAGTTTCTTATTTTTTTTTTAAATTACTCTTTAATAATTTAACTATATCAAATGAATGTGATTCTAAGATCTAGAAGTTAGTTTAAAGTAGCACTTTAAAGTATGTTATTTCATATAACACTATTTCTCTTTCCTAGATATACCTCAAGTATCCCTCCGCTTGATAAAAGAAGAAGTCGGGCGCCAACCAAAAGAGGATGATTATATTCGTTTAGTTTGCGACATTGACGCAAATCCATCCGTCTTGAAAGTGGGCTGGCTCTTCAACGATCTACCTTTATCTCACAATCAGTCCAGTACTGATATCGTGAGTGGGAACACGCTCGTGTTCAAGCGTCTAACGCGTCGCAACCGTGGGCGTTACAAGTGTTACGCCATTAACGAGGAAGGCAGGGGCATCAGTCAAGAGCTCACTTTGAATATTAGCCGTAAGTTAAGAGCTATTATGCATTATTTCTCCTATAAAGTTTATCTCTAGGTTACCTATAAAGCTATCTTATATATACTTATTATTCTTAAATCATGATAGTCTCATAATTATCAGAACTTTTTATCTTTTCTGAAATGAATATTCTTCATCCTAACTACATAATTTATAGGTTACTAACGGGCTGCGACCAAAACTAATTTACAATTTCAATATACAGTTCAAAAGAAAATGCATAAAACATTTCAGTATGAATGAAATCAGCTCCTTCTTTCCAAGCAACAACCAATTCTTAAATAATTTTCTTTGTTGCCAATCCGGGAAACAAAACCTTTTCACACTTCAGATTAATATATATGGCATCATGATTTAAATTTAATGTAGTATGACAAACGTTTTTCAATATCATTAAAATAATTAACGTGACAATAACATATTGTTTCAATTATCCTAACCTGAAGCATAAACGTTACGAACAGCAGCTATTTATTTAAAATGCTGACATTAACGAAAAATGTTCTACCTGCAATGACGTCACATGCAATCACGTGCTTTCTCTTACGTCATAATATGACCTTATACAATAATAACATATGTAATATTTGGCAGTGTTATTTTTATTTTACATTTTGTAAAACTTACAAACTTTTGATTAACAAACTGTACGATTTGAAAGCGAGCAGTGGCAACACTTTTCGAAATAAAGCATTTTTATGTATAACGCGCGAGACTGTTGCCACTCGGGAAAATGAGTAAGAAAATTAGTGCTTTCAGAGTTTCTTATTTATATCTCGGCTGATTGAAGTCGCACTCAGTCGAAATGGCTTCCCACGAATTTTTGAAACCTTTCTTGATACTCAACTCTCCGCCGTTCAGGAGGAGATAATGTTATAAAGAAACAGACGCGCACAGCATAGAATATAGTCATGTTTTGGATTACACTCTGTTTGCTAATTGAACAAATAGGAACCAAAATTTCCTACAGCATTCTTTTTGTAAAATTCTGTCATATTTTTAACTGTTAAATCCTGCACGTTAATATATCAGATGTTGTATTTCACTGTTTTCTTAAAAAACCTTTAAATGTTTCATAAAAATGAGCGTGAAGACGTTTTCTTCGTGATAATTTTATTGATGATTATATCACATGGAAAATAAGAAGACATCCCTTGATTATTTTTAAAGTTTTGTTGCATTAACATTCTATAAATCTGTATTTTAAGAGATTATTCTCAATTTCAAAAAGAAAAGGAAAATCGGAGAAGATGTAAAAAAATGCCTTAGTTCTGCTTCTTCTAAAATCCTTAGCTTTGCGCTTTGCTGTTTGATGTACAGAACTCAGTCACTCGTTACTAATTTGCTCTATACTTGCTCTGCTCTAGTTTTCAGTTTACTCTAAAAACTCTTCTGAGAATAAAACCCTTTTATCCAAAATGCTTCAATGGCGGATTTTTCATTTTTAAACTTCTAGTGTGAAGCGTTTAATCTTTGCTCGGTGAATGTTCTTGCGATAGAACATATGCTTCAGTTTGTAAAGAAAGTTAAAGAATATATCTCAAAGTATTCTGGATATAATAAGTTAATTCCTTGCATTTTAATTTGCATTTAACTTCTTTATAATGCTGCTTAGCAGTTGAGTCAAAAAATTTCTCAGGTATTGAAAGCTTATTAAATGTTTAATTTTTCACTTTTTCAATAGTAAAGTTGTATCCTTTGGTAAATTAAAACATTAACTTTATTTTATTTACGAACTTAAAATTCCTGCAATGTCAGTTATACGATAAAAACAGAGGTTTTGCACTGAAATGAAAATATGAAAATTTTTCATGCTTCCTTTTCATTAAAAATTCCAAATACATCATCTTTCGCAATAATTTAAAATCTCTTCGGTACAGTTCTGACATTTTACTTACATTTAAGAAATAATTAAAACATTTGTTAGCATCTTTCCTTCATTTTTCGTATTATCATGTGCTCTCTCAATCCAAAGAATTATTCAGATTGAATTCGTAAACGTTGTAGTGTAATTTCAGAGGAAGAAACCCTAACTATATGACTTGTAGTAAATAAACGTTTGTCTGTGTGAATGGCTACCGCGCTTGCCTTGTCTTCAGAGAACACTGTTGCTCTAGTGAAATTCTAGATTGTTAGACATTAATCCGAGGGAGTAACTTAATCTTGATTTAGATGGCCTAGGATGGTTGTCCGACACACTAATGTTGTGCCCACCACTTGATAAGAAATATTTATACTATAGGCCATGTAAACTATGCATTCCAACTATTCACTGCTAAACTTAGAAGACTTATATTATGGTTTTGCATTATTTAATTTAACACTCACAAGTGATGAGTGTTAAAATAAAATGGGTCTTTGGTAATAAGAAGGCGTTAAAGGTAAAGTATTTAAATTCTTAAATCGTCGACTAAGATTACGTTGTGTCCGCAAAACCCATTGATACATATGAATATGAGATGAGTTGTGTGACGTAGGGAAAGAAACATATAATTAAGAACTTACCTAGAATCAGGAACCAGACGCAGAATTGCGAGAACCAAACAATCACACGCGAATTATTTTATTCTTATTTTTAAGCATCACTATTTACTTGAATAAACATTAATGTAATACGGATTAAAACTTGGCCAGACCAATAAAATTTCACACCCTGAATAACGCACATCATATTTCGCCAGACATACGGTAATATGTTTCTACACATGATATCACGATTATTCTTTACTGCCGCATTGGAACAAATTAATCCTAGTCCATCCGTTCAAAATAAAAGATCTGAGAAAATGCAACCGTGGCAAATTTTGGTAGTCGACAAGCATAATCGATTAGCAAGCCTATTTTTCGAACAATAGAAGAAGCCCGTGCACCCTACCATAGAACCACGATGTTTATAAAGAAGAACATATCAGTGAAGACATCTTTCGTGTCTATCTTGCTAGACAGTAGAAAAAATAATAGCAGCAATTTATACGAATCTGGAGTTTCACTTTATTAGGACTTTTAGCAAGTTGATTTAGTCAACCAAGTTAAAAGTTGATTTGGTCTCCAAAATTCACCAGCAAGTTGATTTAGTCTCCGAAATTCCGCATGGCTTTCCCAGGCAGCAGTCGAAGAAAAGGTCATATATGCCCATAGAAAAGGGCCAGCACCCGTCCTTCAACTCCAAACGCAGAAGAGAGAGAGAAACCGGTTGGTGGAGTCTCTTCAAGAGTTGTCTTCGTTCGATTACGATTAACAAAATGATGCATAAATACAAAGTGGAGGCTTGCTTGCACAATGAGATGCAATAAAGTTTTACTTATTTGTGTGTTTCTGCTTTCGCAGTTAAGCTACAAGTTGCAACTCTCATAATAGCTTTAAGTAACAGAGGGGGGATAGTTGAATTTAAAACATTTTTGTTTGATTTCATATACCTCCGAGTTGTATAAAATATCCCGATTAACCTATATTCCATGAATTTGAGGTGAATAATTTTTTATGTCTCATTCCATCTGTAAAGGCTTTGGTATATGCACCGTCTCCACAATTGTCTTTATCCAGTCTTTATTTTCGCAACCGTTTGTCTTACATATACACATACAAATTTTAAAAAGTATTTTAAAAGGCGAAAATATTCATGTTGTGGCATTTTTAAGTTTAAATAAATTGACTTTGTTAAATTTTGTTCGTTAAATTTACAAAATCTAACATTTTATATGTTTCCGTAAGCCTTATATTTATATTTAGGAAAGTTTTCTACTCGCTATAAAACGTGAAATATAAAAACCTATGACTTCCGTACGACACAAGTTGACCGAGATATCTGATGTTAAAATAGGCATCATATTAGGGGTTGTACAAAAACTGAACAGCTAAATTGTGTCAAATTTACATTGCATTAAATTTATACTGTATCTAACTTCCAACAAACTGATAGTTATTTTGAGCAGAGCCAAAAATCGTTATAATAAAGGCTCTGTATAGTAAATGACATACAAATGTTGCTTATTTTCTATGCATTATTTATAGTTTAAATTTCTTTCTAGATGCTCCCGTTTGCAAAGAAAATCAGCAAATCACATACGCAGTGGGTCTTAACCAGACTGTGACCGTCCGCTGCGAAGTCGAAGCGGTGCCTACAGATGTCACTTTCAAGTGGGAATTCAGTAACACGGTTCGCAAGCATTACAATCTGCAGCATACCAGCGATGGCGTTGTCAGTGTAGCATCCTACATGCCAGTCACAGCTGCTGACTATGGGACACTTTTCTGCTGGGCCAACAATTCTGTAGGCCATCAGCAGTCTTCTTGCTTTTTTACTGTCATTGCCCCGGGTAAGCTGTTTTTTAACTCCTCCATAAGTTTCGCATTTGCAGTCACAAGCTGTTATAAATGCGTTTGGTTTAATACATACTATTTACTAAATAATGGGGGCGTGAGTTAAATTAATATGCAAGCGTGAATAATGCAAATATTATAAAAATATGCTCAGCAATAATATAAATTTGCATTTTAGGAGATAACCTATAAAATACAAGAATGGTTGTGGTCCGGATAGCGTAATGGCAAACCGAACATTGAGTTGATCAATGTTAAACGAATTTCGCTTACTGCGCACGCCCAAATGAGACATTGGCGCAGTTACGACTTAGGCGCAATTTCAAAAGAAGATAAATACGAGATACGGTTGATATTATGTTATCTTGGGCGTAAACAGTTCGAGGTTTTAAAACGTGTAGTAAGCTGCTTCATTACCTGGAGTATAAATGTCGATTGTAAACTACCCAAATTATCTTTTAAAAAGAATGACAAAAAAGGAAACATTACAAGATATATCAGCTGATTATACGTCTGAGTAATAAAAACAATTGAGTACTTACCATACGTTCCATTCACTTTAACAAATTAAGGATTAAATCTAATTTAAATTATTGAATTAAAAGTTAAATAAATTATTGTAACTAAATGAACTGTTTCAGTTGTAAACAGTCGAAAAGACCTACATGACGAACAGGCTTGTGTAGGGTTGCTTATGCTTAGCCGCTCCCACGCCAGCGGTACACCACTGAGCATGCGCAGTAAGCGAAATTCGTTAACATTGATCAACTCAATGTGCGGTTTGCCATTAAGCGTCCGGATATAGCCGGAATTCCACAAATTTTATTTTCTCAGATTCGGGCGTTCCAAATTTATGAAATATAGACTCATTATTTTTCTCAAATTTAATTTTAGAACAAATATATCATTCAGAGATTATAAAAATTTAAAATTTTAGACTAAGTAAATTAAGTAAGAGGTAAAGTTCTTGTATAAGTACTAAAGAAATATCATATACAGAAAAGTTATTTTTATGCTTGTAATGTAAAGAACAGAATAAACTCATTTTTATGAAGTGGCTCATTAGCGGTGGAGTAATAAAGTCGCTGAACACTGGTAGTTCAGTCTGAGATTCGAATCCTTCGAACGGGCTGTCTGTAGGGGCGTTTTCGCCGTTTCCCCCATGTTTAACGTGTATACCAGCCAGTTTATCTTAGAAAGTCCACTTTTAGTTATAGTGAATTATAATGAATGATTTAGAATAGTGAAAATAGTTAGGTTCCTTCATGGGAAAAATTTCGTAATCTAATTTTTTACATAAGGAATTATTTAAGGAAATTCAAAATTAATTTTAGTCATTGATGAATGTATTAACAAACCTTTAAAAAATGGTTTTAGAAGCCATAAATTTTTTTACAAAAATTATTTTCCGTATCAATATTATTGTAGAATCAGTATTTACTGTCTAGGAATATGACGTCTGTAAACTTACTTCTTAGGTGGCTGTCTAGGGGCTAATAAACTAGTCCGATTTATGGAAAACTCGATAATTTAATGAAATATAAATAGTTGCTACAAACTACAAAATGATTACATGTGTAGAAGAACGAATTTACATAGATGATATTTACAGATGAAGAGAATCGACCGTCTTTTACATGTAAACATCTGTCAGTCGCATCATCGTCTTAATGGCGGAATCGTCTGACTTCTATTATCGGAAAAGTATTCTCACAGATTTATTCTCACAGCTTGTCGCGCCATCTGATTACAATGAACGATGCCATCCCACATTATACACAAGTAAATTATTTTATAAGCCATTTTTCTTTCAAACATATCTATAAAAATTCTTCTACATGCAAATATTATACCAAAGTACTTAATATATAATACTATTCAGGATAACTTTTTGTTTTTGATATGTCGTATAACGGAAGGAACAGTTGATATCGGTACTTTTTATCCTGTAAAAAATTACCAACAACTTACTTAAACAATCAATATAGCAGGGCAAACTAAATTAGATAATAAAAACTGTGTCCTTCCGAGTTACAAATAACAATTTTATCTCTAGCAGTGCTTTATCTCAGATTTTATTTCTAATTAGTAGAACTTTACTAAACGAGTGCAGTTGACGTGCTTGTAGAATGAAACACATCTTAACAAAAAACGTCTATCTAATAATTTTCCTTCATAAATACCTTGAGAAAATTCTTTTTTATGTAACTTTCGAATAGCTAAATCTTCCACAGTACGAGCAAGCTAAAAACAGTACAAGCAAGCTAAAACAGTACAAGCAAGCTAAAAACAGTACAAGCAAGCTAAAACCTAGTTTAGTAATTAAAACATTCTTCGTAGTTTTAGAAAAGGAGTAAAGGAAAACTTCAAGTCTGAAGATATAAGGACTATTATATGTCAACTTGTTACATTGTTTTGGTAATTAATACTTGGCCTTCGATACTTTGAACTGTTTTAAATAGCTCGTTTACTGGTTGTTGGATTTGTTTAAGTTTTAACCACTAACTTAAAATTCTCACTTGCATAAACAGCACAGTAATGCTCATATTAGTTACTCGAACAATAATTATTTGAAGAGAGAAGCAAATTTATCTTATTCAGTTAACAATGCAAAGTTAGTTTATGCACCAAAGTATTCTTACGCTTGCAACAGGAAAATCGTTTATGTACTTATTATATCATACAGAGAAAATATAAATTAGTATTATCCGATAATATAAGGAGTTAACACATTTTATGCAAGAAATAAATAGTTGTTTTGTTGTGACTAATCTCGCTTGTCTGATATCAGAGCAAGGCCCACCAGCGGCCGAGCAATAAAGTCGCTGTGTAACGTGTAGAGGCAGTTTCCCTTAGAAAGTCCTCCACGAAGGCTTACCTCTCCTTAGGCAGATAGCCTCAATGTGCTTTGTCATAATAAACTAAACTAAAACTAAACTGATATCAGATATAACTGATAACTGATATCTTAACTGATAACTGATATCATAAATTAGTATTATCCGATAATATAAGGAGTTAGCACTTTTTATGCATGAAATAAATAGTTGTTTTGTTGTGACTAATCTCTCTTGTCTGATATCAGAGCAAGGCTCACCAGCGGCCGAGCAATAAAGTCGCTGTGTAACGTGTATACGAGCCAGTTTCCCTTAGAAAGTCCTCCCCGAAGGCTTACCTCTCCTTAAGCAGATAGCTCCAATGTGCTTTCTTATAATAAACTAAACTAAAATTAAACTGATATCAGAGCAAGCCCAGGAAATTCATCGTCCCAAGGAATCAAGATTGCGCCTGTCGTTGGCAAGGGCTTTGGACACCGTACAGATTATTGTATGACTTTTTTGAAGGAAAACATCCCGGAGGAGCGGCCCCGAGGGTCTGCCACCCCACTTTCCCTACCACCAAATTCTCGAGAAGACTTTCGCCTCGCTATATATTTAGAGTATCTCTATACCGCACAGGCACTATACATTTACGAACATTCATGTCTTCTCCAGGATTCGAAACCCGACCCTACCGTACGGCAGTCAGTGTCACTAACCCTATTCCGGCTGGACGGCGGGAAAGAAATAAACTGTTAAATATTATAATTAAAACCATTTTTCTCGTACAGTCACAGCTGTCAATTAAACGAAGGAAAAGATTGATTAACCTCAAAGAAAAGTCCATAGGGTGCTTTTGTGTGTTTTTATTAATTTGTGTCTTTCTAATAATCCATATAATTGAAGTATACGATTTTTTGTAAAAAGTAAAAACAAAAGTAATTTGAGCTAAAGAATATGGAAATGAAATCTTGTGGACTCCTTTTGAAATTGTCGTACCCAAAAAACTATTGGTGCTAGTTTCTTTTCTAACGGTAGGTTTCCATTTAATTTTATCTAAAAGAGGTAGCTTCATTTCACTTCTTTTCTGGCTGTTTGTTTTGGATCTGTTTTCAAATACTTTTCGAGAAACGAAAGTTTGAAAGCATGTTTCTCTATTCCAAGAACTGAATGCTTTATGTAAATTTAAAAACAAAATTGCAGCGTTTACTCTTTTAGTGAAGTTGGATTTTAAAATCAGTTAAATGCAACTTTGGAGGGTAGTAAATGTTTCTGTAAGAGGCGAGACGATGTTTAAAATATGTTAGGTTTCCCAAGCCTAAATATCTTTACGGGTTTTAAATGCACCTCTCCAGAACTCTCAGTTTTGAATGAACTTGGTCAGTTACAAATTAAAATCACAAGTTACAAGATTAGATGATAGCTTTAGTATTCGGACTTAATGTCTCCTGTTATTTCAAATGTAAATATGATTTTAAATATCTGGTGTAAAATGTGGCGAAAATCCAAGATCTTTTCTCTGTTCAATTATATACTCTAGAAGTGAATTATCAGTCGAAAACCTCGGATGTTTCCTTACTTGAAGGCATGATTGCATTTGAGAGATTACTGATGAACATTTTAATTAGCGAATGTAATTTGAGCTTGAGTACTCTTCACACTTTCCTTCAATTTTAAAAGTCATGTGCCTTGCCAAAAGGAAAAACAAGTAGCAAATTTCAAATATCAGCAAAGCTTAGTCGACGCGGATGGTGCGTTTCATCTGGATTCGAAGTGGAGCCATGGATTCGAAACTTGGCTTGGCCTGAATTCAAAATTAATTGTGCTACATTATCAATTCAAGTAAATTAAAGTGTGGCGAATAGCCATTGGTAGTCTGAGAACACTGATTGCTTTAAGAAGAATATAAATGCTGCTGGGAGTAGATTCCAGAGAGAATTCTTAGACATATATATATATATAATTAAATATTTTAAACTGGTGCATAATTATAAGGCTAAATTAGCAGAAGTCAAGCTTATTTCATGCAACATATTTCTATTAACTATTAATGTTCACAATGTCTGGGAATAAGTGCGTTATGTATGGGGTGAAGATCAAGTATTTGAAGAGGTTTGAGCTTTCGGGTATTAAACTCACGGATGGCAGTATTACTCTAACACGAAGCGATATTATTC